TTACGAGGCAAGCTCGTTGACCCCACTGGTCACTACATTTATCACCAAAACTTAAGGCAACTTTGTCCTGTAGGCCGTCACTATTGAATGTAGGAATAAGTTTCAAAAGTTAGTTTGTAGGCATTCGATTTGCTTGTCGAACTGACAACAATCCGTGGTCATACTTGAAATATATATATATTATTCAGCGAAAATTTTTTTTCAAATGAAATCTTACTAACGAGATCATTTTTGATTAGAAGGTTACTTATATTACTGATGAAGATTTGCTTGTGAACTCAATAAAACACAGATTATAACTTTCTAATGTTGAGTGAAGACAATGTAAGCTTGCTCTGGAGGCAAAAGGCACATAGAAAAGATAAAGGATGTAAATTGCTGCTCATTAAAGTTCCTCTGAATTGCCCTTTTAACTCCATTTTCCTACTTTTGTTTGTTCAGTGGAGGTGTGATACCTTCAACTGCTTCACTTCTGTGTGAAATTCTAAATTGAGACCCAGGCAGCCAGCAGAAATATATTTTTTTATTATTCCACTAATCTCCGAGTAAAACATTGGGATTCAAGCTTGGGTTCTGAAGTTTCAATAACAATGGTGCTCTTTTTCACAGGATAAGGTGGCTAGTCTTACACCCAACCTTATGTCTTTGCTAGTCTTACTACAGGCTAAGTCAGGATTAGGTATGCGTTGGCCAAGGATCGAACCTCGAACCACCTGGGTGGTTAGTGGTTATTCTACCAGTGAACGACTAACGCACACTATTAAAAATAATGGCTTGTGTTAACTGCAGTAGTACATCAGACTGTCAAACAATTGGTGTTGTATATCTACTTTAAATCTTTGTAAGCTGACTGTATATCATTTGACAGTAATTAATATATTCATACTAACTTATCAAAAATCAACTTAATAATAATTTTGAATAAAGCGAGAAGAACAGTTTTTGCAGAATAAAGTGATACCATCATTAATTTCGTAGAGTTCATTAACAAGTACCGAAGTAGTGAAGGCTCAAACATCAAACAAATCACAGTGGGAAAAATGTCCATCTACATTCAACTTGATTTTAAAGGTGAAAATATTACAGCAGTTGTCAACAGAAGATTGAGGATGTCACTAGCCAGAGTCTATCCTCCAGCTAAGTTGGTACCCATCTTTCGGACAAAATGCTCCTTGGTTCAGTCAGAAGTCAACAGATACCCTTCTCATGTTAACTCCAACTGTGTCTACAAATTTACAGGTATCTACGTGAGCAGTTACATTGGAAGAAAAGAAAGAAGGGCATACCCCTGATTTTCTGAACATGTACCAAAACGCCTATGTTCTAAGGGAAGAAATGCTTTCAACGGTGCCATTGTCAAGCATCTCCTTGAAACAAGTCATGAGGTGGACGTCACAGGATCGTTTAAAACTATTAATAGGCAGAAGAATTCAATTCTCTGAATCAGTTTCCATCAAGCGCCTGAAACCCGATTTATGCGTTCGTGAAGAAGTGGTTATCAGTTTTTCCTTGCCTATCCTGGAAACTGGATGTTTTCATCTTCTCTTTCATTTGATTACGTAACACCGAAAGATTCCACTATATATGATTATTAGTAGTTGGGATAAAGTGTTCATTATTATTGGCATTGTATGCATATATTGATTTTTTGTTTAAAAATGAACTCTCTGTAAAAGTATGTTAAAATTGTTTCTGTTGATATGCTTAATAATGTCTTTGGGCTGTAAGCAGCTGACGAGAAGTGAGCGAAATAAGCAAAGATGGTACCATTTTATTCTGTATGAACTGTTCTTCTCGCTTTATTCAAATTCATTAAGGGGAATGAATGTCTAGTAATACCTTTACACTTAGTAGTCATTACTAGGATGAAATGTTTGAAATATAGAAATAGCGATTAACTGATGGTCGGTCGGTCGGTTTTCGACATAGAACTTTGCACATATGTGCGGCAGTTCAAGTCGCCACACTCCATGTAGCACACAAAGCAAGAGAAGAAACTAGGAGAAATGCATAATATAGTCAGTAAACAGAGGTGTGAGACAAAGGAATAGTAATAAAGGAGAACAAAACAGTTTCATTGGAAATCATGAGTCACAAGGAGTGGATGCATCTGCGCCAGCCATTGAGAACGATTTTGAGCCATATAACCAATTGTCTCCAGCCATTGGTTTTTACCGTCCCGAGGACCCCAACCAGGAAGTCTACATCTTCCTACGTGGTTTGGACTAACTGTTGTAGATTTCATTGACTGGTGCCATGTTTTGGTTTGACCGCCGCTAGCTCTTTTCCAGCCTGACCCTATATCAGCTAACATTGCCCGTCGAGGAAGGCGATGACTAGGCATGCGTAACACATGTCCCAACCAACTCAGTCGATGTAATTTCACAGTCTCGTCGACTGATTTCCCCTCCTTACCTAGCACTCGACGCCTAACCTCAATATTGCTCATCTAGTTATACCACTTCACACAGGAGATAGAACGCAGTCACCTATGATCGAACACAGCTAATCTTTTCATGTCTTCTGCTCTCAATGGCCAGGTCTCACAGCCATAAAGGAGGACGGAGCGGACTGTTGAGCAGTACACACGCCCTTTGGTCGATAGTCGGATATCACGTCTACGCCAGAGACGGCGTAAACTGGCATATGCGAAACTAGCCCTCTGTATTCGTGCTGAGATTTCATCGGAGATCAACCCGTTGGGGCTGATGGTACTTCCCAAATAAGTGAAGCGGTCAACGCGCTCTACCACTTCACTTCCTATTTCTAATCTAGGGGGCGGTGAAGTCCAATCCTGCAGCATCATCTTACATTTTACAGGGGCGAATCGCATGCCAAACATACGAAGATTGTTGCTCAAGGTGTTCAGAAGACTCTGCATTTTGTCAGCGTCCTCGCCTAGAAGGAATATATCGTCCGCATATTCTAAGTTGACGAGATTATTCCCTGATAGCAAGTCAATCCCTGAGTCGCTGAAGTGTGTTAGGGTTAAGTTCATTAATATGTCTATGATGAAGTTGAATAGGAATGGGGATAATGGGCATCCTTGACGGCCGCCACTAGTCGTCACCACTTCAGATGACAACTCGCCATAACTTGTGTCAAAACTGTTTCAACAAAGCGTCAAACATCAGAGAAAAACCATTTGTAAACATTTTATTAATTTATTTGTTTAAATATTATAAAAAAAGAAAATCTAAATACATATCTTTTTTTAAAGTTTTGTATCTCAACATCTGTATACTAATATCTCAGTTATGAAGTACTATATTTCTGTGGTTGAAACAAATTTCAATGGATTGTGTTTATGTTTAAGTTAACCGACAAAGATCAGCAAAATGAAAATTGGTCAGTTTTCTTCTTTTAACACAACAACTTTTGACAGAAAAACAAAAGTTGAATTCTCTTGCAAAAAAAAAAGAAAATACAGCAACTGAAAGAGGAGTAATTTGTTGTGCTTTTCTTTTTTTCAAGACAACGATGATTGTAACATCAGGAGAGTGTGGTAAAACAAACTCATTAGAAGGGGGAGGAAAGGAAGACAGGGAGAACGTGAGACAATCAGTTATAAGTATCAAAGAAACGATAAAAACAAATAGTCTACTCAGACATAATTTAGTTGTTTAGAAAACAAACAAATAAAATCAAGTTTGAGGAGAATGCCAATTTATTTATAATAATAAATAAATACTCTGGAAGTGTTTTTCCTATCTGCTGAACATTGGAACATTGAAAACAACAGAACACATCAAAGGATAAAGTGACAATTTTATACATAAATATATATATATATTTAACTACTATGAACAAGTTTCGTATGGTTAAATATTTTTCCCCTAAGTACTGCAGCATATACAATTCATAATGACTTGATCAGCTTTTCTTTTTTTTTCAAAACATCTCAGCAATACAAGAGACTGGATGTTATTTAAAACACTACGGGAAGTATTAAAAGGGATTCGAACTAACAAAAATGGTTCTACAATGAATTAGAAAGTAGACGAAACATACGGTGTTATTGAATAAAACATCGACCAGGTTATATACCCTTGTGATTGGACATTGAATGATATACAAGAAAATGCTTGACTTAAGAAAGTCATTATAAAGATATAAATTATTTCTATGAATGAAGTATTATGTATATATATATATATAATCTTATCTAATGAATACTTTTCTTTTCAAAAGAGAAACACCATGTGGAATTGGAATGATCTGAGTAACACACAGTCGACAGGGTTATGCTTCATCAATTTTCTTCAGTACTCTGATTTTAATGTGTGTGTGTGTGTGTTATGTACAGAATGCTAGTGTATGCTACTGTAAAAGGTCAATATTGAAGGACATGAAAATGGAAAAGAAAAAAAGGTAGTATAAGAGGAGTAGGAGAGTCAGCTAACCGTCTTGTCAATCATATCAATCACGTAGAATGTAATGCATAGAGTTGAATGTAGTCTACAAAACACAAAAACAAAACAAGAATCGATGTAAACAGAACAGTCTATGCTTCTACACTTTTTTTCCTCTCTCTGGCTTTCTCTCAATATAATTGGTCTTGAAGTTCATTTGAGGTAGTTTTAAAAGTATAAGAAAGGGAAATTAATGAATTATTTAATAATCAACAACTTAAACAATGAAGAGTGAATATGATTAGAAAAGATAAATGCAATTTTTGCTATGAAAGAGGGAATTATTCAGGGTGATAATAATAGTAGTAATAACATGAATAATAACAATAATAATAATAGTAGGAAAGAAGGAAGGCATAGACATACAATTAAAACTACTCATAAAATACATCACAGGGATCTTTCTTTCTTTCTTTTTTTACAACAGTTTCTGATGTAATATCTGTTTTGTTGTTTTTTAGGAATGAGAAAAAAATGTATATTTGAAAACTTCACTTCATAATGTTCCCATTCAAAATTGCATATCACAACCAGAGTAAAAATCTGTTGGCAGGTTTTTCTTCAAAGTATGGCAATGGGCTCCACAGGTTAGGAATAAAGGCGACCACTATTGTCTTTGCCTTGACTGTTACCGATTTCATTATTCATATCCACCTAAAATGAAAACAAAAGAAGATACTACTATAATATATATATATAACACGTTAGCTGAAGCTCACCGCATACAAAAACATTATTTATGAATCCATCAGGAATCGAACGAATTACTTTTAGGTTACAAGGTAAGCCTTTTGGTCATTCATGCACTAGGGGAGAATTCAACAGCTTATGAATTCTAATTCTGTTATTTCGTGACATCTGGCACCACCCTCAGACAATGTCATTGGTGAGTACCTGTTCCCACGTCCAACTGGGTGGACGTCTCTTCAGACAGCTAGGCGCTCCATGTTTTTTAATCGATATCAGTTTTTGACCTAACTTGAAAACAATCTATGACAGTTCTAGAAACCTGTCCATCCTTTGAGATCTTAAATTCTGCCTAATCAAATTAAGACGATTGACTATGTTTACATATTTGAATAAAGCAAGAAGAACGGTTTTTTACAGAATAATACGGTAACATCATTTATTTCGTTGTGTCAGCTAACAAGAGGTTCTGGACTTAGTGAACAGTGCCTAGAAAATTACACCTATATAGCTTTTACACAGGCAGTTCTAGTTTAAACAAAGTAAATATATGCATACTATGATAGAGGAGTTTCGTAATAAAGGCGACAGGCCCTGGAGTGGAATCCAAATGGCAAACGACGAGTGAGTCATCCCACGGTGTCATAAAGGAGTTTGTGTGAGGAAGAGATGAGGGAGTTTGGGCAATTGCGGACCCAGATGAAGAGGACGGCAGAAAATAGAACAAACTGGAATGTGTTGTTGAAGGCCTATGTTCCACTCGGAACCCAAGGAAATAATAATAATAGACTAACAGACATTCTCAAGTAAATAATCTAGCAAAATATTTTTAAATTCACCTAGTTATATCCATTTATTATATCTCATCATAATAAGAGCTCATGAATCATTCGAAAGACACACTATTTTTGTAGTATGTGACTACAGCATCAATATTTAATAAGCTAGACTATTCGTTCTTCTGATATGAATCAAATGATATATCATAATTATGCAGAATTCACAATAATATTATCACTATTTTTATTTAAAAATTCGATTAAATTTACTCATAGTAACCTAGATTTCTTTACTTCATTGAGTGAAATAAACGATGTAACCAACGGCATGGAAGTGAAATTAAAAACTCTCCGATTTGTTTAATAAATATAATAACGTCAACCGTAGTATGACAGATAGTAGAAACATAGAAGAAAAATAAAAGGATTTATGATATTTATTTGAAGTATTCTGTAATTTTTATTCCTAAAATGTTGAAAACCGACTATCATTATTGTAACTCAGTATGACAGGTGCATGCAGCCTAGATTCCTATTTGTTTTGAAAATTCACTCGAGTACTGTTTATGTAGCATAGAAGCAAGTAGGTAAAGCAGGGAACTCCAAAGATTCTTATCATTGAAATATCTAAGAATAAGAAAGACACAAACTTTTGACACTCTATGGTTGATGGAGTAATCTTACTCAATGGTTGGAAATCTTTATCAAACTAAAAGCACTTTCTGTAATCAAGACATTTAAATTTCGCTACAGGTGTACACTATTTCTTATTTTTTATTCCTTTACGTTCCCAGTGGAACATAAAGCTTGAAGCTAGAGCTTAGAAGTTTCAGTAGCAGTGGGGCTGCTATCCCACACCCAACCTTCCATCTTTACCACTTTTATTACTGACTTAGTGAGGTAAAGAAGTGTGTCGGCTTGGGGTCGAACCACCTGTGTGGTTGTAAAGCATTCTACCGCTGTGCAACTGGTGCAATACAGACCTACACTATTGTTCTTCTTTATCGTATTTTTTGCCTCGAGAAATACGACGATAAACACACAAGAGAGTTAAAAGTGTTTGGTATTAAGTCACATCACCTTCAATTCTTGTCTGAATCGTATTCTTAAGAAGCAATCTTAATAACATGAGATGGTAGGCGGATAGTTTTGTACAAAATTCGTTCAGATACTTATAGTTCAAAACCATTTGTCATGGTAATAAGTTTGATTAAACACTAGTGTCTACACACTAAATGTTTAGAATCTGTGCGGTGAAAATAAGCGTAACAGTCGCAGTGTGAATATATTGTAAACTTGCAGAGCTACACTTTTCTTCTATTACCTAATGGTATTACATCATCTACATTTATCATTTTCATCTTTTTCTATTTCTATAGGAAGACAAATGAATGTGAATATTTTTCAATTATTACATGAAGTATTTTTTTGATATGTTAGATGAAAGGGATAAAATTTTCACTCCATGTCACGTTTTATTTGTTCTTCTATATTTGTAAAGTAAGCTTTCCATGCAAATTGTTCTGGGTTGTTTTTTTGTTGCTGTGGTTATTGGTATCATTTCCTTTGAAAGCTTTGAGGCAGTATACTCTTTAGTCACATAGAATATTAACTTTAACTACCTACTTATAGTGGTAATTTCATTTACTAATTACGGGTTTTGTCTTTTTATTCTCAGTTTTAATGCATGAATTGTATTCACTACTGTTAAGTTTAGAAAGAAATTATTTAAAAAGTGATAAAACATTTATGTTCACAGCTGGTGAAAAATAACGCACAAACAGTATATTTTTCTCCTTTTGTTTTACTGTCCGAGTGTAACATAGGGTCTGAAGCTTTAGATTTAACTCTTTGGTAACACTGGCGCTCATTTTTATGGAATGTGGCTGCTAGACTCACGTTCAAACTCCTCTCTTCATCGGGATTACTACCGGCTTTAGCGAGATTTAGGAGTACGTCGGACGGAGGTAGAATCCTGATCCATGTGGGTGGTTGGCGATGGTTCTACCAAAGAACCACCAACGCTAACCAACAATATAGAGAATATAATAATACATGTGACACTTATTGTCACAAAGCTAGAAACGAACAGTTTACTTGAAAGTACACGATTAACTCTCTTTCCGTGGAATTTACTAGGAATGAACTTAATTTGTGCACCTAAACAAGTACGTCCAACCTCTCTGTCTACCCCAGTCAATTATATCATCGTTATGAATGTAATTATGTGATATCCTAATGTCTTGTGATGTTCTTAGCGATCTTTTCTTGCCCTTCTAGGTCCGTTTTGCCTAGCTTAAATAACATAACTATTGGTACTGTTCGTCAGCCTATCCTACTTCTTCACTGCTCGGTAACCGCTGATCACTGTTACCAGTGTGCATTCTCCAAACCATTATTATTGTTATGGCAAACACAGATTAGGAAAATGCATATTTAAGGTTAATTCTTGTCAGGCTTTACAATTAAATAACAAAATTATTATTCATAAAAACATATGATATCAATCTGTTTTATCATTTGCCCATTATCACAACGGGAATATTTAAATTATTTTATTTATTTTTATTGATCATTACTTTTCATCCCTTAAACCTACATCAACTATATTTAATTGAATTTGAAATTTTTCCGTCGATTGATTAGACCGAAGTGCTCGGTCTTAGGCTGACATGTCGGCTCCTTGTGCAGATGCTTTTAATTAATTAATTTAATTAGAATTTAATTTGTGGATGGTGACTAGCAGTGGAATCTAGGATGTGCATTTCGTCATATTTGGGATTCGTCATCTGGATGTACCTGCATTTCCCAGTGAGTGGATGATTTTCCCACCGAGGCTCGAACCTGAGACCGAGCACTTCGGTCCAATCAATCGAAGGGAAAATCTCAAATTCAATTAAATTAATACGACCCGTTGCACAAGATGTGGCTCTCGTGGCCCAAGTGGTCTAATGGATAACGCTTTGGCGTTTGAAACTAAGGACACTTGGTTCGAGACTCGGTGGGAACATCATGACTCACTGGGAAATGAAGGTACATCCAAATGACGAGTCACGAATAGGACGAAATGCGCATCTTGGATTCCACTGCTAGTCCCCATCCACAAATTACATCAACTACATCCTGTTTGTTGGTTCGGTTTTTTTAATAGTAATCACACTTTGGAATATACCACTCACCTCTTAGAAACTACACTTTCGTCAATTACAAATTGACAAATTTGTCACTCAATAATTTAACCTGATTTTCACTTATGTTCTTATTGACGACAAATTTTGTATGTACTCAAACGATAACTAAAGCTAAGTGACTCTTGATATAAGAAGAATAGAACTTGTGCAGTGTGGTAGAGTATAATTCCATTATGGGTAAAATTTATTTTGATAAATTCTCACTGTGTTATATAGTAATATTTACTGATGACTACGTTTTGAGCACAATTTATTGTTCATAATTATAATCATACCCACAATGGAACTAAGTGACGCTTATTTTATCGTGTGCTTATATGACAATATAAGTTCTCACTTAATTTTAATTCTTTCTCTCTGGATATTGTATTCTAATATTAATACATATGAAATAGCACAGCGTGAAGAAAGATTTATTCAAAACAACTGTTCGCTCTAGTTGTTTCTCTTTTCTGAATAAGTCATGAGGATATTCAAATTACTGAAAATAACACAAAACATCGACTTTAATTTACGATATATATATATGTATATGAGCAGTTTCGCTCTGTGGCCGATGTGCTAAACAAAACGAGCAGCAAAACAGTTGAACCGACCAGTCCTGATGGTAAACGTTGCTGCCGGCTACAAGGTGAACTATAATTTTTTACACATTACAACAATTTGTAAGTTTTAGCTGTAGTATGAACAGAATAAATACATTTGTTTTAATTTTTTGATAAAAGTGTCCTCACTAAGTTGAGACTGAGAGTAAGTAAGAAATTGGTGAACGAATAATGCTAGTTAAACTGTTATATTTTCAAATAATCAAAGATACTCTCAGTACAAGAAGGAACTGTATACTTGAGTAACAGTAATAGCACTAACTTCATTAAGCATAAAGGATAAGGCATGGATTTTCAGCAATAATATCAAGTCAGTCAGTGCTTCTATATGAGTTAGAGAATTGACGTTTAGCCAGAAGCATTTCCAAAAAGCTGCGAACCTTCGCTAATAG